AAGCCAGCATAACCCTGATACTGAAACCAGCCAAAGACACCACAAAAAAAGAAAATTACTGACCAACATCTCTCATGAATATAGATGCAAAAATTCTCAATAAAATTCTAGCCAATAGAATTCAGCATCATGTCAAAAAAATAATACACCATGACCAAGCAGGATTCATACCAGGTATGCAAGGATAGTTCAGCATTAGAAAATCAATCAATGTAATCTACCACATAAATCAAAGGAAAGAAAAGAATCACATGATCATCTCAACTGATGCAGAAAAGGCACTCAACAAAGTCCAACACCCATTCCTGATGAAAACTCTAACAAAATAGGTATAGCAGGGAAATTTCTCAACATAATAAAGGGCATCTATAAAAACCAACAGCTAACATCATTCTTAATGGAGAGAGGCTGAAAATATTCCCCTTGAGAATAGGAATAAGACAAGGATGCCCTTTATCACCACTCCTATTTTAACATTGTGCTGGAAGTCCTAGCTAGACCAATAAGGCAAGAAAAAGAAATAAAGGGCATTCAAATTGGCAATGAAGAATAAAACTGTCCCTATTTGTGGATGATATGATACTATACATAGAAAACCCAAAAGACTCCAAGAAAAAAAATACTGGAACTAATAGAAAGATTCAGCAGAGTAACAGGATACAAGATAAACATAAAAAAATCAGTTGGATACCTACACACCAAGAAAGAGAATGACAAAAAGGGAATCAGGAAAACAATACCATTTATTATAGCCCCTAGAAAACTAAAATACTTAGGAATAAATCTAACCAGGGATGTAAAAGACCTATACAAAGAAAACTACAAAACACTACTGCAAGAAACCAAAAGAGAGCTAGATAAATGGAAAAACATACCATGCTCATGGATAGGTAGACTCAACATTGTAGAAATGGCAATTCTACCCAAAGCAATTTACAAATACAATGGAGTCTCGATCCAAATACCAACAACATTCTTTAAAGAGATGGAAAAACTAATCATTAACTTTATATGAAAAGGGAAGAAGCCCCAGATAAGTAAAGCACTATTGAAGAAGAAGAATGAAGTAGGAGGACTTGCACTACCTGACCTCAGAACCAACTATATAGCTATGGTAGTCAACACAGCCTGGTACTGGTACAACAGACACATTGACCAACGGAACTGAATTGAGAACCTAGATGTAAATCCAACCATGTACGGTCACCCAATCTTCGACAAGAGCCCAAAGTCCATCAAATAGGGAAAAGACGGTATTTTTAACAAATGGTGCTGGCAAAGCTGGATATTCATCTGCAAAAAACTGAAACAGGACCCATACCTCACACCATACACAAAAACTAATTCAAAATGGATCAAAGACCTAAATATAAAACCAAAAACTAAAAAAATCATAGAAGAAAAAATAGGATCAACACTATAGGCCCTAAAACATGGCATTAACAGGATATAAATCACAACTAACAACACACTAACTCCAGAAGATTAGCTAGATAACTGGGATCTTCTAAAAATTAGACACTTAAGCTTATCAAAAGATTTCACCAAAAGAGTAAAAGAGGACCTACAGACTGGGAAAAAATTTTTGGCTATTACAAATCTGACAAAGGTCTAATCTCTAAAATCTACAGGAAAATCCAACACCTCTACAACAAAAAGACAATCCAATTAAAAAATGGGCAATGGAAATGAACAGACACTTCACCAAAGAAGACTTTTAAGTAGCTAACAGACACATGAGGAAATGCTCGCGATCACTAGCCATTAGAGAAATGCAAATCAAAACTACAATAAGATACCATCTCACCCCGGCATTACTGGCACAAATCAAAAAAACAGAAAATAACAAATGCTGGAGAGGCTGCAGGGAGATCGGAACTCTTACACACCGCTGGTGGGAATGCAAAATGATACAACCATTTCAGAAAATGACATGGTGCTTCCTTAGAAAGCTAGAAATAGAAATATCATATGATCCAGCAATCCTACTCCTAGGAATATATCCTAGAGAAATAAGAGCTGTCACATGAATAGACATATGCACTCCCACGTTCATTGCAGTATTGTTCACAAAAGCAAAAAGATGGAACCAATCTAGATGCCCATCAACAGATGAATGGATAAACGAACTATGTTACTTACACACTATGGATTATTACTCAATGATAAACAACAACGATGAATCCGCAAAGTGTCTCACAACATGGATGAATCTGGAGGGCATTACGCTGAGTGAATTAAGTCAATCACAAAAGGGCAAATGTTGTATGAGACCACTACTATTACTATGAGGGAGGGGAGGGGTGGGGATGGACAAACACTAAATAGATATTAGATAAGTGGTAACTTTGGTGAAGGGTAAGACAGTCCATAATACTGGGGAAGGCAGCCCAAGTTGTACAAAACAAGGTCATGGAAGCGCCACAGACACATGCAAACTCACTGAAGGACCGAATTGCTGGGCACAGGGCTATAGGGACCATGGTCTCAGGGAACATCTAGCTCAATTAGCATAACATAGTTCATAAAGAAAATGTTCTACATTCTGCTTTGGTGAGTAGCATCTAGGGTCTTAAAAGCCTGTGAGCGGCCATCTAAGATACTTCACTGGTCTCACCCCTTCGGGAGCAAGGGAGAATGAAGAAAACTGAAGATACAAGGGAAAGATTAGTCAAAAGGACTAATGGACCACAATTAACACAGCCTCCACCAGACTGAGTCCAGTACAACTAGATGGTGCCAGGCTACCACCACTGACTGCTCTGACAGGGATCACAATAGAGGGTCTCAGACAGAGCTGGAGAAAAATGTAGAACAAAATTTTAAGTCACAAAAAAAGACCAGACTTACTGGCCAGACAGATACTGGAGAAAATCTGAGAATATGGACCCCAGACACCCTTTTAGCTCAGTAATGAAGTCACTCCTGAGGTTCACCCTTCAGCCAAAGATCAGATAGGCCCATAAAACAAAACAAGACTAAAGGGGCACACCAGCCCAAGGGCAAGGACTAGAAGGCAGGAGGGAACAGGAAAGCTGGTAACAGGGAACCCAAGGTCAAGAAGGGAGACTGTTGACATGTCATGGGGTTGTTAACTAATGTCATAAAATAACGTGTACTTACTGTTTAATGAGAAGCTAGTTTGTTCTGTAAACCTTCATCTAAAGTACAATTTAAAAAAAAAGAAAAAATAAAATAAAAAATAAACGGTTAAGTTGCTAACTGAAAGGTTGGCAGTTCGAGTCCACCCAGAATTATAACAGAAGAAATCCTGGAGATCTATTTTGAAAAAGACATTCACTGAGAACCTTAGGGAGCACAGTTCTACTCTGACACACATGGGGTCCCCATGAGACAAAGTTTACTCAGTAGCAATCTTTTTTTTTTTTTTTTTTTTTAATGTATCGACACACAGGATAAGTCTCGCACTTCCAACCTGACGTTTCCTTGGACTAATTTTTATCAACTGGAAACAAAAATGAGGTGAATTAGGTAGATGTGTTCTAGTCAAATAAGGGGACAGGACCAGGGTTACATTAAGTTATGACTGAAAAATGACATAAAGATTGGCATGAATTCTTCTAAGCTATGGTACATTCTACTATCTTTAAAAATGTTTTTGTTAAAAAAAAAAAAACAGGCTTGCTGGTCTGACAGAGAACGAAGAAACCCCCAGAGTATGGCCCACGGACATCCTTTTAACTCAGTACTGAAGTCACTTCTGAGTCAGCCAAAGATTATACAGTTGTATAGGGCCAACAATAACACACATGAGAGACGTGCTTCATAGTTCAACCATGTATATGAGACTAATGGGCACACCAGACCAAAAGCAAAGATGAGAAGGCAGGAAGGGACAGGAAAACTGGACAAACGGAAACAGGGAACCTAGGGTGGAGAAGGGGAGAGTGTTGACAAATTGCGGTGTTGGCAACTAATGTCACAAAACATTTGTGGATTAACCATTTAATGAGAAAATAATTTACTCTGTAAACTTTCACCTAAATCACAATAAAAAAAAATTAAAAATTCACAGAGCTCCAAAAAAAAAAAAAAAGTTTTTATTATCTGCAAAAATCCTTTATGCTTCTGTCAGGAATACCATGTTTAAATTCAGCTATTCAACTAAAAGAGTGGCTTTTAAAAGAAATTTTTTAAAAAGAAAAATAGACAAAAATCTATATGAAGAGTCTTTCTATTTAATCACAGTATGACTTAACACCTGGTCATATTAGCACATGAACAAGGCACTTATCAATTCCTGGGAGCAGTATATGCCAATTCCAAACCAAACCAAACCCATCACGTCAAGTCGATTCTGACTCACAGTGACCCTACAATACAGAGTAGAACTGCCCCATAGGATTTCCAAGGCTATAATCTTTACAGAAGCAGAATTCTACGTCTTTCTCCCGAGGAGTGGCTGATGAGTTCGAACTGCAGACCTTTTGGTTAGCAGCAAAGCACTTCACAACTGCGCCACCAGGGCTCCTCTATATGCCAAATACATGATCATATTTTCCACGTCAAACCTCTAGACGGGTGAATATGAAAAACCATGCATATAACGTGATGAGGACAGAAATGTCAAAGCATCAGTGGACTAACACTCATTAAGTAATCAGTGACTGGCCACTCCACAGAGAACAGAATCCTGAAGGAATGGGATACAGGTTGAGCTGGATTTGAAGGAGTGGCAATAGTGGAGCACAGATCCTACAGTGTGACAGATGAGACCATTAGGCAATGGAGGAGGTCGGTATTAAAGACAAGCTTTGCTTCATATTTTTGAAACTGCCTATCTTCTGTCTCTGCTTTCATTAGCCCAAACTAATAAGGAATGGTTACTTCTACAACGTACATTTTTATATTACAGGAAATACGGTTTAATGTAGACTCATGTGTGTTTATAACAGGAAGCAAATTAAAGAAAATCTTCTCCCATTTAAATAAAAATGAAAGGACAAATACAACTTAAACAAATTGATTGCTCGACTTACCTTAAGGATTAAGTGCCTCAGCTCATTATCCTGAATAAATGAAGGCCTGTAATTATCTCCTACATAAGAATTTGTCATGCCTAAAAATAAACAAGTCAAAAGTTATTGAAAATATATTAGAGAGGAAAATATAGTTAAGTGCTCAATAATGTTAGCAATGCTGCTGCTGCTACTGTTGACAATGATGATGGTACTGTCTCTTCTAGCAAGCTGTAAAGAGGTAGTTATTCTCTTTCTTCATTATTATTAGATTGAAATTTCTTGAGTTTAGATTGTAAATTCCTCACTACTTATTTATTCCTTTTTACTCAAATGTGCAGACATAAGGGCATGATATAAAAAGAAAGCATTTTAGTAAAATGTACATACAACAATATTCAAGAATATAGTTATTTTTATAATTGCTTATCTTATTAAAACTGGTCATATGAATTGCTCTAAATGTTCAAACTCTGGAATTCTGAACACATTTTATGGATTCATAGCAGTGGTGTCACTGGGGGAGTTGCAGGGGGTATGGACCGCATGAGGTGACACTGTCAGAGGGGATGACACCAAAATGACTGTCTATAAATTTTTTGTTCAGCAGCAGAAATTTATTTTTTTTATAAAAATATCCCTGTAGTTATAACACCAAAAAAAATATTTTGTAAGCCCAGCTTACATGCATCAATATACCTACAAGGGTAAAACTCTATGCAAATTTACTTTTTGAACCTTCCAATGTGCTCCAGAGCTGTCATTATTACCCAATTACCACGATGCTTCGAATCACGTGGTTTCATCTGACTGCACTACAAGCTCGTGCTGTTGTTTTCATTGCTGCCAGTGTTTTTACAGTCACTGATTTTGTCAATTTTCTGGTGTTTTAGCTATAATACTGTGGTAATTAGCATGGGGGAGGTGACACCATGAGTTACTACACTGGGTGACACCAACCCTAGTGACGCCACTGATTCATAGGATTTTTGAGTAAGAAAGGTCCTTTAAAGATCATACGGAGAATTCTGAAAATACACAAAAAATTTATAAAATATAAAGGAAATAATTCATTTTAAGCTCTTAGCCCAGAGCTTATTATATTAAAGTCTCTAAAGCAAATGAAGAGCTGGCAAAATAATATAGAATTATCAGGCCAAAACCTACACATGAAAGTTTGACTGGAAAGATAGAAACAAACAAACAAAAAAAAAAACCTGTTGCCATCAAGTCAATTCTAACTCATAGTGACCTTACAGGACAGAGATAACTGCCCAATAGGGTTTTCAAAGCTGAAATCTTTATAGAAGCAGACTGCCACATCTTTCTCCCACCGAGTGGCTGGTGGGTTCAAACCACTGACCTTTTGGTTAGCAGCCAAGCACTTTAACCACTGTGCCATCAGGTGAGAAAGGAAGCACCAAAACTACATTTTTCTTGAGGGCATCTGCCAATCCTGACACATCAAAGCCCTTCATGGCCACAAGGAGGTGTAGGGGACAGAAGTGGGATTTCCCCAGCTACCTCAGGGTAAAGGTGATTCAAAAGTAAATCAGTATCCTCTCCCCAGTATCCAACGACCTTCCTAATCCCAATCCCCTCCACTTTGGGACCGCAAGAAAGGCTGCTTTCTCAAGAATGGTGGGGGTAACACTCTGAAATGTTTAAATCACAAACTGGCCTTTGGATGGATTTGCAACCCCAATTCACCAGTTACTTAAGTGATAAAAGAAAACAAAATAAAACCACTTCCTTCTATGATTTGTAAGTGTTTTCAGACGGGTAGCATCCTCAAGAGCCTGGCTTAAGCAAAAGAAAATCTCTGTAGGAACCTACCTTTATCCTAGGCCTCAAAGAATTCCCACTTGTCATTGTTTGTTATTACTATTACCACAGAGCAGGCTGGTAGGACTATAGCAGGAGGGAGTTGAGAAAGGGGTGAAAGATGCAGACTCCGACCCTGAGAGTATGGCCCCTGGACACCCTTTTAGCTCAGTGGTGAAGTCACTCCCGAGGTTCACCTTCCAGCTGGGGATTGGACAGCCCCATAAAACAAAACGGGACTAATGAGGCACAGCAGTCCAGAGACAAGGACTAGAAGGCAGGAGGGGACAGGAAAGATGGTGATAGGGAACCCAAGGTTGAGAAAGGACAGTGCTGACATATTGTGGGGTTGTTAACCATTGTCATAGGGCAATATGTGTACTAACTGTTTAATGAGAAACTATTTGTTCTGTAAACCTTCATCTAAGGTAAAAAAAAAAAAAAAAAAAGAATTATCTATGTGAGATCAAACTGATAACAGCAACTCAAAAGGATTGATGGGAAGCCTAGGGGCAGTGAGTTGAAGATAATAGTAATGGAATAATTTGTAAAAGGATAGTGAGAATAGCAGCACAACTGGAAGAATGTAATCAATGTCACTGAATTGTACATGTAGAAACCTTTGAAAAGGTGTAAATTTGGCTATATATAGTTTCACACACAAAAAAAAGTCCTCCAGGGTTGAGAAGGGAGAGTATTGATGTGTTGTGGGATTGTTAACCAAAGTCGTAAAACAATATGTGTACTGACTGTTTAATGAGAAACTATTTGTTCTGTAAACCTTCATCTAAAGTACAACAAAAAAATAAAATAAAAAGAAAGATGCAGACTCCGAATGCCAATCCAGGGAAGAGCAATAAATGGATTTTGAGAAGGCAGTGACATTTCCAGGTCTGGCCTGAAGCAAAGTTGGCCAGAACACTGCAGAATTAGGATGGGGAGATCCTGACAGCATAAATCACCAGGAACAGTGAACCCTGGCTAGGTAAGTAAGTAAGGATGCGTTAGAGAGAAAATGAGGGTAGTAAACGCAGAGCTGAAGTCAGGGTGAGGTTGGCTAATAAATTGCATGTTGTGACATTCGGCACACTTGCCCAGAGGGGTGACAAATGTGACTCTTAGATTTCTGATGGCAAACACAAATTAGGAAACCTGATTGCTTACCCTTTTCACAATGCTTATTAGATTTAAAAAAAAAAGACAAGATGAGAACAATAAATACTACTAATACTGCTACTTTTACCGCCACCTCCACCATTAGTGAATACTGTGCCAGGGCTTTATACGCATCATTCTTCACTCTTAACAACAACCCTATGGGGCAAATGCATTATCCCTATTCTACAGATATGGAAATTGAGGATTAGAAGATTCAGGAACTTAAGCAAGTCACATAGCTATTAAGAAGTCAGGGAGCCAGAACTGGAATCTAGGAGGTTTGTCTCCAGAACTCACACTCACAAACCACTCTCCCTATTTGTCCCTGGATATTTAGCACAGATACAGAACGCCCACAGGCTGTCAGAAAGCCATGCAGCAAAGCAGGGCTCCTCCAAATGTGGTCTGCAGACCAATGTCACGAGTGAGCTGTGGTGAGATAAGTATGGAAATTAAGAGTAAGCATTTAAACACTTTTCTAGAAATGTAACATCACTGCGGTATCCAAATACATGACTGTTTTCCTACTAATTAATTGTGCTACACTTTACAATGCATTGGGGAAAAAAAAAAAAAACAACTTGTCCTTCACCCAGACAGTTCGAGAAGCACTGCAGTAGAGTGCAGGGAAAAAAAATTATTTCACCATCCTTCTGTCTAAAATTTAAAGTAATTAAGCTATGGACCAAAAATAACACGATTCATATGTAGCCCTCTGATGGTTTGGCTTCTAAGCTTTTGTCAAACAAGTTTGAGGTTATACTCTGATAAGGAGGCTGGAATGCAGACCCAACCTCTTTAAGTCATCTCACTGGCAAGTAGATACATAGATATCTGCCATCCAGCCCACTCCAGCTCACAGCAACCTTATGTACAAGAGTACAAGTGTTGCCTTGTTAACGTGATGTTCTCCTCCAGTGATTGATCTCTCCTGATGCATGTTCAAAGTAAGTGAGTCAGACATTGTTCTGCTGTGATCCATAAGGTTTCCATTGGCTAATTTTCGGAAGTACACCCCCAGGCCTTTCCTCCTAGTCTGTCTTAGTCTGAAAGCTCCTCTGAAACCTGTCCATGATGGGTGATCCTGCTGGCATTTGAAATACCGGTAGCATAGCTTCCAGCATCACAGCAACATGCAAGCCACCACAGTGTGACAAACTGACAGATATGTGGTGGCACTGGCTAAAAGTTCTGGCCAGGACGTGTCGCCCTGTCCACCTCATTTTTGCTTAAAAGTGGGCCATTGGTGAAATCTATGTTCCAAAGAATTCCCTCTGGATTTAAATGGTTAAGTGTCTCCTCTGTGCTGAGGGTTCACAGCATCTCATCTCACTCATCCCTCTCCTGTAACATTTATCACACTAGGTTTATCTCTTCATGGGTCTCTTCCTTATTTATTAGACCATGAGCCCCTAGAGGGCAGCAACCTTACCTCATTCATTTTTATATCTCCAGCTGAGAACAGGAACCTAGTAGATGCTCTGATTCATGGCTTTTCCCACAGGCCCTCCCTCAGGATATTTCTAATGTGAAATTGAGTGAATTTAGGGCTGCAATCAAATGACCTCAGTTGAGCCTGCAAAAATTTCATTGCTAAATGATTTAAGGGAAATACCACATGCAATCTGTGCAAGCCCCAGCTGTGGGTAAAAGAGAATCTTATTTCACAATAGGCTATTACGAAAATAAGGCCTCGAGTCCCGCTCCCAAAAGGAAGCTTCCCAGGCAGTATCTCAGCACTCAGTCTGCTTTCCAGAGCACTGAAGGGATCAAGGGCTTTACTTTCTTTTTCCCACTGTCTGCTCTCCAGATCGGAACATGCATACCAGCTGACTGGAGTACGTTAGCCGATTTCTACCTTATGTGGAGAGCTAAGGGAGGTGATTTCACGTTATCTATTTTTACAACCTGCACAAGTTACTATTAACTAAGCCTTTAATAGCTGTCTCTAGTTTCACTTCTGAATTTCTATTTGCACAGCCCCAACCCACCCACCCCCTGCACCGAACGTATTTCACAGATCTTGTGTTCAGTATGAGACATGATTCTCTTTGTCTGGGCCTGATTTGCACCACGAGGCCACGTTAATACTGCTCTCCTCTAAGACACTTTAACTTGACTTGACAAATTCCCTGTATTCTGTCCATATAATTCCCCTTTTCCCTGAAACAGATTTTCTTTCCCTGGCATGCAGGGCAGGACGGAGATCTAAACTAAGACCCTTGGGTCATCCTTCACTCATTTCTTTTTCATATTTTTTGAGCCAAATTTCTCTAAAATCTTTTATATCTTTACAAAGCTGAACTTCCAGTCTTCTCTTCTGGTCTTTAGCACGCTACTCTCCCAGGTCCTCCTGTTTTCTCAGTATATCTGAAACTCAATTCCATTTCCATTACTCTGTCCCCAAGTTTGATTAGGGTTATTCCCAAACCAGATGTGACTTCTATGATCTACATGTATATATACACACATACACACATATACTTGCATACATATACATTCATTATACTTCAATTTAAAATTCAAGCTCAAGCTGGAGACTGCAAAAGTCAGAAATGATTACACACACACCAAGAGGCACTAGCCAAGGATCTCCTCCACCCAGTATCTAATATATGTAAAAATATCTTAAGAGAAATTGCTGAATTTAAGGAGATTTTTTTTTCTAAGGATGGGAATTGGTCAATAAATTATAATAAATAGTACATTTCAGAACTTCTAAAATATTGAGAGGTAGGTAGAGCAGGCATTATCTTCATATTACACATGGGGAAACAAGAAGAAATGTAAAATCTTGTTTACGTTCACACAGATAAAGCTTTTTTAGAACCAAATGTTCTGACATCCAGTTCAGTATTCTCTCTACATACAAAGTATGGGAAAGCTTCAAATAAATACCTACCAAGCTGAAAGACACCTTTATACAGAATCTCAATGGCCAATATCAGCAAAACAAGCGAATCAAAGCCCTCAATTACAAAGAAGGCTCTACAAGTCTAAGTGTGAATGCTATTTTCAAACTCACCTTTTAGCGATTTCAAGTGTTGAACAGCCATTCTTAAAACTGTAAGTTTGTCCAGTTTGCGTGCCATGGGATTGCACTGAGGGATCATTGCAGACAGTTCTTCAATCAGGTTGTTCATTTTATCTCTCCTCCGCTTTTCGGTTTGGCTATGAGCTTCTCTAGGAAGGAAAGATTCAGCAGACCCACAGTTACCCAGGAGGTACTAACCAAAGCAGGTATTGAGCCCAGCAAGCACACACTGTTCTTCCTCCCAAAGTTGGCCATTTAGGGAAGAGGAAGGAGCTGCTAGGAACAGGAATAGTACTCCTCAAATCCGTGTTTCTTTTACCTCCACCCCTACACTTGCTCTTCCCTCCCTATCTCATTTCCTAAAAACTTCAAGAACTAAGACATCTGTCTGAGAGCCACCGTGGTTTGTCTATTTCCTTCCCATCCTTGAGGAAGAGATGTGTGAGCTTCTATTCCAAGTTAATTCCTCTCTGCAATTACCTTAAACAGTTATATGCATCTTAACCTCATTCTCTCTCCCAACTCCTTATCATGTGCTCAAGTCTTTTCCCCCAGAAAAAATCCTTTCTGTAATTCTACTTTATTTTTTCTTGCTACTGCCTTCCCTTCTCAGCCAAGCTTCCTGAAAGAGTGTAGTTTCCTCCACTCAATCTTTCATTTCCCATCTATTAAAATCAAGCTTTTACATCACCACACCACTAAAACCACTCTAGCAAAGGTCATCTTTATGCAATCCCTGAGCTGATCCCAGGGTTGAATGTGACACTGTGATACTCTCCCGAATGTGCCTCTTCCATTCTCCCTGCTCAGCTCCATCCCCTTGATCTCCTTGCTCAGCTCTTCCTCTCTCCTTAAATGCTGATGTCCCCCAAGATTCCCAACTTGGCACCACTCTTTTCTCTCTCTATAGCTTGTCCCTAAGAGAGCTTATTTCCTCACAAGGTTTTACAACTACTCATAAGCTACTTACTACTCAATCCCTATCTCATTCATACTTGGTCTAGGTGCAGACCTTTGGAACTAGACTTCAGCACCTCAACGATTCACAAGCACCCTAAAACTCAAGAAATCCAAAACTGAACATATGCTATCCAGTTCACCCCAGTGCAACTCTCCTTCCTTCACTACCCTTGTTTACTCTTCCTTATATGGGTTTATCTTGGTTGATGACACCACTAGACTCATTCTAGACCCTTTCTTCTCCTTTGACCTAAATAATTGCAAACTCCTGTAAATTCTAGTTCTTAAAATATTTCTTAAATCTGTCTGCTCCTCTTCTACATCCACTCTGCTATTGCCTTAATTTAGTCCCTTATTACAGTTCGTTGCACTACCCCAAGAGCCTTTTAATCTGATGTTTCCTCTAGTTTCTTCCTCTTCCAGCCTATCCTACTCACTACTTTCAGAATTATCATACTAAAAAAATCATATCATCTAATCCTATTGCAGAAAACTACTCAGTGCATTTCCGCTGCCTAGGAGGAACAGCCAAACTCTCTAATTACTTACTAAGGTTCTCCATAACTTGGCTCATGCCTTCATCTTCAGATTCACCTCTCCGGGTCTTTTCCCTACAGCTCCAAATTTTATACAGCAGCAACATAGCAATTGCCAGTCCTCAAGAATGCCATGGCGTCTCACATCTCCTTCCTGCCTGACTCTTCACAAGGCTTGGAATATCGTTCCCTTCTATATTCTTGGAAAGATCCCAGTCTTTCTTCAAAACTCAGCTCTGTTATTATTCTTCTGGGAAAGACTACCTTCCCTGACTACTACATAATTAATCACTTCCTTCCTCAGCTGCGTCATTACCTTTTACAAACCAATACTACATTTCATCAAACCTAAGACACCATCAACTGTAAGAGACACGATTATGTAATGCATCACCAAGAAAGAAAAATGCTATCAATTAACAGTGAGATGCAATTGATAATAAAACATTTTTCCAGATGATAAAATTGGGGGGGGAGGTATATCTTTGAATTGAAGAATTATGCTATTTTAGGTTCACAGTTTACTGTAATTTTTTATCAGTTTCTCTTACAACACTCGGAGCATAGCAACTACAGACTCTCTGGATAAGAAGAGCTTAGGAGGGCAATCCGATGGGAAAGAGGATAAGTAGAGGACTTGCCCTGAATCTGTCTTTAGAGAGACTTTAAATTAGATTTTTAAAAATGTTATTTTCCACATAAAAGAGCGTATGGGGGGGGGGTAGGTATGGGCCCAGACTCATGGAGACTGTCATGGATTGAACTGTGCCTCCCAAAATATCTGTCAGATTGGTTAAGCCATGATTCCCCAGTATTGTGTGACTGTCTACCATTTTGTCATCTGATGTGATTTCCCTATATGTTGTAAATCCTATCACTATGATGTTAATGAGATGGATTAGCGGCAGTTATATTGATCAGATCTTCAAGATTAGATAGTGTCTTAAGCCAATCTCTTCTGAGCTATAAAAGAGAGAAATGAGCAGAGAGACAGGGGGACCTCATACCAGCAAGAAAGCAGTGCCAGGAGCAGAGCATGTTGTCTGGACCCAGGGTCCCTGTGCCTGAGAAGCTTGTAGACCAGGGGAAGATTGATGACAAGGACTTTTCTCCAGAGCCAACAGAGAAAGAAAGCCTTCCCCTAGAACTGATGCCCTGAATTTGGACTTCTAGCCTACTAGAGTGTGAGAGAATAAACTTCTGTTTGTTGAAACCATCCACTTGTGGTATTTCTGTTACAGCAGCACTAAATAACCAAGACAGAGACCAATGGGGCTAACTCCCTGACCCATTTGCCTTGGCATTGCCACTGCTGAAACAAAGTACGTGCTTTTGGGTGAACTGAATGATATTCAAATTAAGGCAAGGACCGCATGTGTATTTACATAAAATTTAGATTATCTACTCAAATTTTGGTCTATTCACAAGCGATTTTTAACTTAACATTTCATGCTTAAAAGAATGTTGTGGTTTTACTCTTGCTGAAATGATCCCCTCGTCTTTCTACCAGTATTATGCATTAACAGGGACACTAGCTGCTGATGTACCCCAAGGTAATGTCCCTGCTATGGACAGATGCCTGACTTCAGGAATGTACAGTAGAAAAAGGGATGCTGTCTCTCAGAGCTTAGATTTAGAGGGAGGTGAGAGCAAGGTACAAGCAAGGTCGCTGTGGAAAACAATGAATGATGACAGCAGGAGCTAGGAAACTCAGGAAGGAGGAATAGCCATTTTTTTTTTAATGTGTTTTGTTGTTATTGTTGAGAATATACATAGCAAAACACACCAATTCAATCATTTTTATAGGTACAATTCAGTGACATTGATTACATTCTTTGAGTTGTCCATCCATTCTCATCCTCTTTTTCTGAGTTGTTCCTCCCCCATTAACATAAACTCACTGCCCACTAAGGTTCTTATCTAATCTTTCGAGTTGCTGTTGTCACTTTGATCCCATTTAGGTAGTTCTTAAAAGAGCATAATGCTTAAGGCAGACATTTTTTACTAGTTAAGCTAGACTATTGTTTGGTTTTAAGAAGACTTCAGGGGATATTTTTGGTTTAAGTATAAAGATTACCCCAGGGCAATAGTTTCAGGGGTTCATCCAGCCCTCTTGGCTCCAGAAAGTCTGCAGCCCAAGAGAATTTTAAATTCTGTTCTGTATTTTCCCCCTTTTGATCAGGATTCTTCTATTGAATCTTTGATCAAAATGTTCAGTAATGGTAGCTGGGCACCATCCAGTTCTTCTGGTCTATGGCAAAGGAGGTAGTTGTTCATGGAGGCAATTAGCCACATGGAATAGCCAGTTTTTGAAAAAAGTATTTTACTTGAAGGAGCTGCACATGAAAAGGCTTGGAGGGTTTCATTAAGGAAAGGTATAGTTATCCAGAGGCTAGTTCTCTGCTTTATAACTTATCAAGGTTCTGGCTCTTCATTCTGTGTACAGTTACTGCCACTTTAAACCATTTCAGTATTTTATAGTCTCTTATCAGAAAACAGAGTAAATGAAGAGAGGGTAAAACTCAGATCTGGTCATGCTGCCAAATGTAGAAAAAAAATTTTGTTGCTGTTTGCTGTTGTTGAAAGAATACATGGAAACAATTGAAAAAGGATATATGATGGATTTCTAATAATCAGACACTCCTTAATAGTAATTCTGATTTGTTGATTGCATGAATCAGTTTTTCTCTAGAACTTAAAAAACAATTGTTGTTTTTAACAAGTAGCCATTTTTAAGAGAAATTTAAAGGCACAACTTGTACCTGATAATCATTACTTCTCAAAGCATAACAAATGAGAAAAACCCAGTATTTAAGAATCCATTTCATCCTGACATCACCTTTAGCTTTGGCTAATGGTTTGCACGTGCAGCATTTTCCACCCACCAAGTACCATCCAACATTTCAACATACCTGAAGGACTTCATTTTTACTTGTTGATCACTGTCTTCCATTCTACAAAAAAACAGGATAAAACATCAAACTACATGAAACAGCTGTTCTGTAATTCTTGGCGAAGAAATAAATGTGAGATTAAGTCTAATCACCCTAATTCCCGTTAAATATTTAGTTACAAACTCTATCACTGAGCACAAAATGACCTGAAATGGTTTTTACCATTTATGTGAGCTGTTCTCCTACTGATGGTCACAGTGGTCCCATCAGGCTAACAAAAAGCTGACCAATAATAATTGGTGCTCCATTTAGAAATGATTTCATGCCAATCCTGAGAAAGAATAAAATTTTCATAGAAATAACATTAAATAAAAAAGGTATTATTCTTAAAATAATTGATGGCTGAACAAGAAATTTTAGGATAGCTATATTAGAAATGGGCTAAAAACACATTATGAATCTCAGACCTTTAATCGAAAGGATTTATTTTGCCTAAAAATTAATCTAGATAGTAAGAAATATTATTGAAAACTGGAAACTGATCACTTGCCAATAATATTAATTGTCACATTCCTATATTCCCTAGCATCAGAAATGTAATCACCAGACCACTACTGAAATGAAATATATTGATGGTGATAGAACACTTTCAACATTAAAAAATTTGGCAGGTTGAGTAGTTTTTTAAAATAGGGTTTTTTGTTGTTGTTGTTGTTGCATTCCAAAAGTCTCATTTGTTTTTTGGGGGGAAATTTGAACAATTCAGGGGAAGGAATCAACCATCCCACCACCTGGAAATAACAACAGTTAATATTTTAATGTATCTCTTTTCAGTCTCTTCTAAACATGTATCTACATACTAAAAACAAAAACAAAACTCAGCATTGACTATTTCACTTCGCCATGGTGTGTGTGTGAGTGTGTGTGTAGTACTATATATATGTGTGTAGATGTCTGTGTGTGTTAGAACCACATAATAAACAAAATTGAGATCATAGTGCAAACATTTTTCATGTCTTGTCTTATTTACTTAACACTACAACATGAATATTTTCCCGTATCTTCAAATAATCTTGGAGAACATGATTTGAAGTGATTAAGCAGTAGTCCAATGATTAGCTACACCATAATTTACTTAGTTTCAATTATTCTAATTTTCCAATATTATAAATAATATGGTAAGTAATTTTGTGGTACATGCTTCTTTGATTACTTTCCTAGGATAAATTTCTACAAGTATAATTTATGGATAACTGTTTTAAGCCTTTTGATTCATCTTGCCAAATTTGCCTCTTGAAAGACTTAACAATGATCATTTTTCAGACTTTGAATAAAGTCTGACCTATCTTTGAACTATTTTATTCATTTGAACTATTGTCTGTATTTTTAATAATGTTTTTCTGTTAAAAAAGATAATACATGACGTTTACAGAAAATTTAACTAATTTTATGAAGAAATGCTTATAAACATTCGAAATGAAGAGGACCACCTTTTACCCAGGTGGTGCTTTTTTCTTCTCACCATACAAATGAATAGCTTTCATATTTACATTACTTTATCAAAAATATTTTCACATACATTATTTGATCCTCACAACACAGTGATGTAGTTATTACTATTCCCATTTTACAGATGAAGAAACTGAGGCCCAATAAGGTTAATGACTGCTCAAGGTCACATCCTAATAAGAGGCCACGTGAAGACTCAAAATTGATTCTATACGGGGTGGTGTGCACTCTACTACTATACCTTGTTATTTTTCTCATCATTGTCCATCTGCTCTATGAGTAGACATATAAAATTACAGTTTCTTTGAAGCAAAATATAGGGTCAGATTAAGTCAGCTTCTTTTCTTTTTTTAGCCTGACTTCATATGCGGGGAATAAAACACAGAAAATAATTATACAGGTGAATGAGTTTCTTCCTTAATGGCCTGTGAATGAGTTTCTTCTTTAACGGCCTAGAATTATATATTCATACACAGCACTTCAGTTTCAAAACGTAAACTTTGGCTCTTTTAAAATCATGCATTTGCTTTGATTATAGGCATTTTAGCAAATGAACTCACTGACTAAACTTGCTTCTTTGTGTGAAAACCATATATATTATACTTATTAAATCCAAATACAATTTTATTTAATGGTTCCTGGTAGGAGAGAATAAAGGCATGATCTTGCTAGCCAGACAATTTTTGTTTGAAGCACAGACTTAGATAATTAGTAAATTTGCTGTATGTATTTTTTCTCTGTGCTGGCATTTGGTCTATAGCCATAATATTTTTACATATGGATTTTAATATGCTTTCTGATATTAATAAGGTTCACATTATTTAGATGCATTGTCTTAACATAACACCTTACACTATAGTAATACAATTTTATCAAAACACAGTGCAAGCTTTCCTTGAAAACTACTTTGACTGCATTTTTATGAAATGTAAGGACTCTCCCTAAGCCATGCAAAGACAAATGACATTGGAAACAGATACAATCTGAAAACATTCTCCAGATTTTCAACCTTCCATGCCTCCTCTTTTTGAGACTCTCTTCCTTTGGTTTCTGAGATATCACCCCCACTTCAGAGCCACGTCTTCTCACATTCAGGTAGTCTTCCCCTCCTCCCTTTACTGTCTTTATGCCAAAGTACCCCCAGAGTATATCCTTAGCCCCCCAGTCTTCCCACTTCATACACCTTCCCCAGTGACTTCATCCATGCCTATCACTTCAATTACTTCCTGAGTAAAAATGACACCTGAATCTCTATCTCCATGCCAAGCCTCATCCCTGAGTTCTAGACCCTCTTATCTAACTGCCTACTTGAAGGTCCTATAAATAACCCATTCTCAGTATGTCTCAAACTGAATTAATCTTTCCCTCCATCTCAGTGAATGATAATACCATTTTCCATCTAGGTGCCGAAGTCAGAAAACTTGGACACTTCTTATATTCCCTCTCTCCCCAACCAATAATAATGAAGTCTTAGAGATTTTGTCTTCTAAATACGCCATGATATATCCCTCCCTTTCCAAGCCCTTCCTGTCCCAGGCCACTCTCTTAGACGGATGCTCATAAGATCTAATCTATATCCCAGCAAAAGTCTCTCAGCTGCTCTCTCTGCCTGCCGGGTGTTCCTCCTTCAGCCTCCACCCTCTTTCCAGAGTGAGACTCTGAAAATGTAAATCTGATCAAGTTTCTCTCATGCTTAAAATCCTTCAGTTTTCTCTATCGTATTCAAGATAATTTTCAAATTTTTTAGTTCAGCAGACAAGGTCCTTCATGACCTAGTCCACATTCATCCTTCAGCTCTATTGTGTCAACAACTTGTCATTTCCTAATCAGCAATGTGCTATTTCATACCTCTGCTCTTCTACACACTTGTTCCTTCTACTTAAAATACCTTCTCCACTCCTGCTCCACATGGCTCATTTCTACTCTTCATTTAACATTTAGCTTATGCCAACTTCTCCAAGAAGCTGTCCCTCACCCCTGACCCCAATCTTATTTAAATGCCCAATTTTTTGTTGTCCTATTACACAGAGTCTCTATTATAGCAGTTATCATAATGTAATAATTATTTTTATCTTTCCAACTTGAGGAAAGTTTCTTGAGGGCTGGGTCTGTGTCTTTTCTGTATTTATACTTCCTTGTCCACTGGGTGTCATACAGTAGGTAGTCAATAAATATTCAATGACCATATTCCAGGAATCTTCATCAAAGACCCTTTCAAAGAATCAACTCCAATCGAAACCAACAGTGCTGCAGAAAGGATGAACATTCTCATACAGCCTTATTTGTTTAAAAATATCCAACAAACACTTTGAAACTATGAAATCAGCCTTATATTAATTGACTGGCTTTGATGCCTTGAGTCTCTGGAGAGGATGCTATAAATCAGCACTTTGTAAAATTCATTAAGTACTTTGACACCCATCACTTCATTAGAGGGGACGGAAAATGATGGGATAAAAGAAGGATCGGGACAGAATGGAGACGCTCTGGGCTAGATAACGAGCAACTCGGTAGGATGTATACTCTCATTCTATCACCTATTCAAGTAGGGAGGGAATATGTCAAGTGAGAGTCCAGGACTTACCTGCTGCCACTGGATGCTGGCATTCCTATCTTTGTTGAGAGAAGATAGGTAATGGGATTCTGAGAAAGCTTTTCCACCACTTTTTCTGTCGTAATTCCTGACCTGGAAGGAAGGAGACATTGAGTCATCCTCTGCCCACACGTACTGGGAAAAGGACAGTGTGATTGCCATCATGTGCTAGAAGTATCCAACCCTGTCCAGTTGGAGAGACAGGAAGCAGGGTGTAATGAAGGAAATACAGCAGGAATTGGGTACTCTAATAGTTGTATAACCTTGGGCAAGTTTCTTGATATTTCTGAGTCCTAGCTTCTCCATTTTATGAAGTATGAGAAGTTAACTAAATAATTAACTGCCAAAAAATCATTCTCTGTCAGAATTCTACATGTTTCTAATATTTTTCTTATCCTTGACCCCATCTTCCCATTCACCAAACAAACCACTATAAGGTCTCAATCATGCCCCTTACTTGGCATAAAATTGTGTTACCTCTAGTATCCACTGCCCCTACTTCAATATCCACAATCACATTTAGATACTAAGAAAGAACAATGCTTATGATTTTGAAGAATAAGGAAGACAATCAAAAGAACCAACAACCAATTCTAGCTTGAAGTGAGTGGGGGCTACCAATTGATAATTTAGGATGAAAAACAGCAAATATTGCTATGTAGAATGGGCACTTGGTTTGCTGCAGCTATTTATGATCATCCACATTAATGGAAGAGACTAAGAAATGCAGATAACCAAAAACAGTACATAATCTTCAAGTCATTTATATGTGGCTTGGGAAGTGCTTTGGTTCTTACATTTGAATAGCACTGATTCTGCTGCCATGGGAATTGAAAATAAATTATGAAATGTACTGAGTTTAAAAAAAAAAAAAAAGAGCTAGGATGTTTCATTGTGTCTTTATCCTGTCCCTCTACCCGGAACTTTTCCCTTCATTCCTGTTAAAGAACTATCATCAACCTTCACATTTATGTAAAGTACCGGCCTAAGATTAGTTGCTGTAGATTGTTTTACTTATTTTGCCCTATTATTTTTGCCATATAAACCCTAGCTTTGTGAAGGTCTTTGAAGGATATTTGGGACTACAAGCTGCATTAGGCAACAAAAATGAACAAAAATAGAGTAAGTATTCTCAACAATGACTTTATTACCTACTTGGCTTAATAAATATGGAAAATAAGAGTTTTATGTGAAGAATCTGACCACGGATAACCAAGGATTGGTTATTATATAGATAATGAGTAAGGTGAGAAGTGAATGTAGTAATTATTATTTTAAGTCAAACATGCAGAAAGATGTCCTTCTCATATTTAAGTATTTCATTTAGCAAGGCAAGTATCTTGCCGTGACTATAAATATTAAACTATATTCCTACATTTCTCTTAGACTCCTCTTGACTTTCCTGGATACCTAATAACCTTCGGAGTTTGAAGTCAAAGTGTCAGGCCAGCCAATGATGGAGATGGCAAGCAGGTGAATAAGTAATTCCACCAACCCAAATGTTACTATGTACTTCAAAAATAATTAATGATTTAACAATTAATCTTTTTCTCTTCTCTCTAGAATCAAAGATTTCATGGGGTCAGAGGAACAAATTCACTTACTGGGATGGGTCTGAATCACTTCCTTTGCGTTTTCTTGGAAATTCTGTCATATATGGGCTGAAGGATTCAATAGCTGTTGGTTTTGTCCCTGGGGTCAAATGACTGGAAATCACAGAAGTAATGCACTGGTTGTCTTCTACTAGCACTTTCTCTATGAACGAAAAGCACAGTAGGACATTTATTTTAAACGTTAACCTTTGCTTTATATACATCCCATATCAAACATTTTTAATGGCTTTCCTATCTTGATATTTTTAAAAATTTCAGCTAAGGACAACATAACACAGAATGAAAGACTAATTATGTACACTCAAATATTGGTTAGAAATGTATTTGTTATTCCATATTTTTATTTTTCAAAATAAAAAAACTTGTTAGTCCTAGTTTATTTTCCCTATTTATTTGTAAAAGAAATACATGAATACTATAGACAATATGGAAAACACAAAAAAGTAGAAAGGTAGGCGAAAACCAAATTTCAACAACCAATGTATACTATTTACTTTTAGAACATTTCTATAGTGTCATTAAAGTAATTGAAATTATACTGTATATTCTGCTTTATTTACTTTCATTGTGACATGATATCAGCCACTGAAAACCTTATAGAGTACAGTTTTATTCTGACATACAAGCTTCTACTACAAGAACACTGAGGGAAGGACACTTAATTCTGTTTGGGGAGAGGAAACAACATTTGGAGGTATTTTTTGGATGGGCATTTCAGGTTAAAAGAACATTATACACACCATAGAAAGTCCTGGATAGAATAGGAGAAAAATGAACAAAATTCAAATTCCTAAAAAAGGCCAGACCTACCAGGCTGATAAAGACTAGAGGAACCCCCCAGACTATCATCTTAAAATAAGCTTTGAACTTGGAACTGAAGCTATTTCTAGAGGTCACCTTTCAGCCATATAATAGATTAGCTTATAAAATAAACAGTATCACCTGTGAGTAATCTGCTCCCTTAAACAATCAACTATATGAGACCAAATGGTCCACCTTTACCCAAAAGCAAAAATGAGAAGTCAAGGAGGAGACGGGAAGCTAGGTTAATGGAAACAGAACAAACAGAAAGGGAAAACGAGAATGCTGACACACTGTGAAAATTGTAAACAATGTCATGGAATAATTTGTATAAAAACTATTAAATAAGAACCTAATTTGCTGTGTAAACTTTTACCTAAAACACAATAAAATATTATTAAAAAAAGAAAACACTATGGGCTGCAGGCAAAGCAAATGCATTCAATAAAATCCTATGCAGTCATTAAAAATGACATTTATGATAAGTTTTATAAATATGGAAAATATTCAGTGATGAATGTTTAGTGGAAAAAAGCTGTCTGTTTTTATACAGACTATATAAAAACAAGAAACACAGGTAACACGTTTGTGTGGGAGATAAAAACCTACAAAGAAACACAGTAAAATGTTTCCAGGTGTTTTCTCTGAGTAGCCAATCAAACGATTTTTCTACTTTCTAATTTCTGTATTGTTCCAAAATTTTATAAATATCACGTCTTACTTTTATAGGACACATACACAATTTAAAGAGAAAAAGGAATACATATGGACTATTGGGGAATAGCAAGTAGATCAGTATGGCTGGACACGATGTGCAATATCACCTGTACTCAGTAATTGAAGAAATGGATCTCAATTTCCTTTGATTTACCAAAATAAATTTGTGATGGATGGAATTAAATGTAAGGAAATAAAATTACAAAAGTATAAGAAAAAATATAAGTGAATATTTATATACTCTTAGAGTGAGGATAGCCTTTTGAAATAGATGCTAAAGATAAAAACCATAAAAGAAATGACTACATAAAAAAGCTAAAATTTCTGTATATCAAAAACCATCATAAAATTAAGACATATAAAAACTGGGTGAAATAGGTGCGGTATATATGACAGACAGCTAGGCTGCTGTTCCTTATAAAACTAAAAAAACAAACAAACAAACCCATTGCCGTCAAGTCATAGCAACCCTATAAGACAGAGTAGAACTGCCCCATAGGGTTTCCAAGGAGCAGCTGGTAGATTTGAACTGTTGTTTTTTGGTTAGCTGTAGCACTTACCCACTGTGCCACCAGGGCTCAATTCCTTATAAAGAACTTGTAAAAATTAATAATTAATCCAAACATCACTGAGAAAAGTAGTCAAAGAACAGGAATAGATAATTAAAAAGCATAGATATTGTTAATATTTAAAAAATAAATGTCCAACCTTACTAATAATAAAAGAATGCAAATTAAAACAGCAAAAGTCTGCTTTGCCTATAAAATTGGCAAAGACAGGAAAAAAAAAGACAATATCTAGCATGGCTACAGTTCAATGAAATTGGCACAGGTGTAAAATGGTGGTATGAATGTAAAATGGTAACATATTTTTAGAAAGCAGCTTGCCTATACACAGCAGTAGTCTTAAATTCCATATGCTTTCAGAGGCAGCGCTTCCTCTTCTGAGAAAATATATTAAGGAAATTATCTTACATGTATTCAAATATTTAGCTACAAAATGGATGTTGCTGTTACATATCATATAGACATTAAACAAACCTGTATGTCCAATAATAGAGAATAAATAAATGATAGCAAGCCCAGGGAATAGTATGTGATTACTAAAAACGGTGAGGTAGAATAATACGTAATGTCATCTAAAATATCTCACTCTATTATTAACTGGAGTCCCTGAGTGGTACAAATGGTTAGTGCACTTGCTACTAACTGAAAGTTGGTAATTTGAATCCACCCAGAGGCACCTCTGAAAAAAGGCCTGGTGATGTACTTCCAAAAAATCAGCCACTGAAAACCTTATGGAGTACGCTTCTACTCTGACACAAGTGAGGTTGCCATGAGTCAGAATCAACTCGACAGCAACTATTATTAAGTGAAAAAAAGCAGTTATAAAAACAGTACAAGCCCATAAAAATAAACTTTTGCATAAAAGACACATATAGAAACGAAGCTGACATCTGTCAAAATATTACCGGTGGAAGCAGGGCCAAGATGGCAGAGTAGTCAGACGCTTTCGGTGGTCTCTCTTACAACAAAGACCCGAAAAAACAAGTGAATGGATTGTATATGACAATCTAGGAGCCCTGAACATGAAAGGGAAAGTTGAGGAATCAGACTGAGTGGCGGGGGGAGGGAGAGACGGTTCAGAAGCAGCAAGGAGTTGCCAGACCTGACTTGGCAGGAGCCAGAGCCCTTCAGGCCGGATCAGCTGCTGGTGCACGGTGAGGCAAGCAGCGGTGCCCAGGAGGCGTTTTCCACATAGGAAGAGACCCAGCAGCAGAGAGTCTACTCGGCTATTCAGAACCAGTGAGAAACAGCCCTCGATCGGCAAAAGATAAGTACTTGGTCTCACCTACCACGTGGATCACAAAACACCCCATTTGGGAAAAACCTCTCTCCCTTTACCTCCCCCCTCCCCACTCTGCACTGGGTCCCAGGCCGGCTTCAGCAATTGCCGAGTCCCCTGGGCCGGAAGTAGGACCCGTCAAGCACCCTAAGCCATTCTCCCAGCCTTGGAGAGGGAACAAATTAACAAACAGGGAAAAAATAAGTTGCCAGCTCCCCTAAGCCAGGAGCTCAGGTTTGACACAGCTCCCTTGCCTAGGCATAGGCATAAAGGGTCCACGGACTTTGAATGCCTTTCACCCCTGCATAGACTTGTGTGGGCCCGTTTCAACAGCATAGGCCCTCATTACCACAGTACAACAGGGTATATACCTGAAGTCTAACTTCAGCTGTTTCAGCTGTGAAGTGGTAGGTTTGTGACACTTGACACTGCTCTGCCCATTAAGCAGGGTCCTTACCTGCCTAAATCAGGGGCCTGAGGACTGATGGCTCCACCCACGCCACCTAGCCATCTGCAACAGGGGTCCAAGAATAAGTGGTACCCAACTAGTCCTTAGAGTCAACAGCATTGGGTGCTGATAGTCCAGCTGCAAAACCCACCCACTTATGCGCTGTAGGGAATAGGGACACATTTTCCTCCCACACACTCAGGGGCAGCCATCAGCCCCCTGCCTTGCTCAGTGTGTGACCCCCTACTGCAGCCAGATACCTGTGCCTAAACCAATCACCCATGCCTGTCTAGGACTGTAGATGAGAGCCTGCACCACACACTTGGTGACCGACTACCTGGACATCTGAGCTGAATCCATACAAGAAAAGTTAATGGACTCCTGGGCTCACATACTTAGTAACAGACGCAGACCTAACCACTTGGTGACAGGACATTAGAGCTTCAAAGGCACTAATAATCAAACTAGCTCACATAAGCAACCTATTTGGGCATGTCAAAACAAAACAAAACAAGAAGCTAGGACACACTAAGCAAACATAAAATAAATAAATATCATAACTTATTGATGGCTCAGAGACAACAGTCAATATCAAATGATATAAACAGGCTGACCATGATGGCAACAGTGAGCTCTCAAAATAAAGAATCAAGAAATTTTCCAGAGGAAGAGAATTGGAATTACTGGACGCAGAATACAAAAGATTAATATACATAACTCTTCAAGAAATTAGGAAGGAGATCCATCAAAATTCAAAGAAATCCAAAGAACACACAGAGAAAGCAATAGAGGAACTTAAGAAGATTAGAGAAAAGCATAATGACAAATTCAACAGGCTGCAAGAATCCATAGAGAGACAGCAATCAGAAGTCCAGAAGATTAACAATAAAACTTCAGAATTAGACAACTCAATAGAAAGTCATAGGAGCGGAATTGAGGCAGTAGAAGTCAGAATTAGTGAGATTGAAGATAAAGCATTTGACACCAACTTATTTGAGGAAAACTCAGATAAAAGAATTTTAAAAAATGAAGAAACTCTAAGAATTATGTGGGACTCTATCAAGAGAAATAACCTACAAGCCATTGAAGTACCAGAAGAGAGGAGGGTAATAGAAAATACAGAGAAAATTGTTGAAGATTTGTTGGCAGAAAAGTTCCCTGATATCATAAAAGATGAGAAGATATCTACTCAAGATGCTCATCGACCCCCACATAAGGTAGATCCCAAAAGAAAGTCAATAAGACATATTATAATCAAACTTGCCAAAACCAAAGATAAAGAGAATTTTAAGAGTGGCTAGGATAAACGAAAAGTCATCTACAAAGGAGAG